TTGGACTGGTGAACAACAGTCACGGATTCGAGCCTCGGGAGGTGGTGGATTGAATATGACTGGCTAGAGGGGGCTCCTCAATAAAAATCCGTTTACGCGGGCCACACACGATCCGGATGACAAGGATGACATGTCAAAAAAGAGATTCTATAGCCTGACTCTCAGCCCCTAATAAGATCGGGCTGCAATGCCGCTTGGAAATCTTCTGAATGCTGATCTATAGTACATCGCTATTGATCACACAAATAGAAATAGCAATGCACCAATTAGCAATACTCGGAACTGCCTTGAGGATGGATTATATGGTACTGGCCCAACTACCTATTTCCTTCCCTAGGCGTCAGCTGCCGAAAAAGAGATTGGGCACTGCGAGCGACGTGATTTGAATTCGCCGTCTATCGCGTGGCTCGCATATGAGCAACATAAAAGTATACAAATAATAAATGCATGACAAATCAAATATAAAATATATCGTTAGCTTACTTTAGGACTTACGAGAAACAGGCAAAATATAAGCTCCACAAAAACTACCGAGAGAAGCAAGTGATAGAGGAAAATTGTCCTGCAGCCCCACTTGGGATTATCGTCATGGTGTACTAATTGCAACGATTACGCTAGCCTACATTCCCTCGGGCAGTCACAAATAGAGATTTGGGCAGTCCGTTTGAGAAGATTAGGATATAATAATTTTGGAAATGGAGATGTAGGCTAAGGGTAAGAGGGGGGTTTGGCTAGGGATTTCAGTTTAAGGAATTGGGGTTAATTTGATGGCTAAAACAAACTACTAATCTCAACCACTAATGGTGACAACTAACCCTAACTACTAAGTCGAAACAGTAACCCTAAAAACTAACCATAATTAAGAATCTTCGCAATCAAACTCGAATCAGGACCCCCTAGGTATAGTCAGAAAACAAATGCCAGATTTTTTAACCACAGTAAGGAATCTCAAACCCCAGTCCAATCCTACACCTCAATTCTTAGCCCATCGCCCCTTAGCCTAACCTCATCCAAGAAATTACCGAAATTAAACTCCACAGTAGACGTGCCCATAGCTGCCCAGGATAAGTTAACCCAGCAGAATAATGACTACTTAAATGGCTTCAGTAAGCACACTAGAACGTAACCAGTAGGTGGGGCGGCATGACCTTTCGTTGTCCGTTTTACCACACATGTTATGTACTCGAGACCAACTTTGAGTTCATCTTTCGTTTATAAAATTCGAAATTAATACTGAAACGCACAAAATATGAATAACCGTGTACGCCTGTGTGCGGTAGACGGGAGACTGCTCTCTTTCAAGCTTACCTGTCAAGGATACTGGACAATAAAGTTAATCAGCAACCATATATAAGTCAAATCTCTCGATTTTATAACTACGCATCATCAAAGAGACCAAATTTCTGGTCATGTCTACACGCAGATTCGACGTATCTACGGGTCGGCTGCTTGCACTTTCCCCTACAATCTCATTTATTTGGAAAACAATGATAAAGCAGTCGTTTTCTAAAGACCCATTAATCGAAAGCGTAAACTTGTATCTATCCGGTGTTCCAAGCTCCTAACTAAGCGGTTTCGCAGGCAAACAACGAAACTAAACAAACAGGAAGAACGCACATACTTGATCAGAACAAACTGCTGGCTGTGACATGGCTTCTCAAGTAGGGCCTCCAGTCGGTGAACGAGACAGTTGCTAAAGAAGAAGATAAAGAAAAGGAGGAGGAAAGACTCTTTGGCGGGCTTTTAAAACTGAGCCGTCATAATTTATTTCCTTCATGCGCATGCAAATGTTCCAAGGTATAAATCGACTGGGTCTATTGCGCCAATAATAAACCTATTTTCATCCTTCTTTAGTCATTGAAAAAAAACAATAAGATCATCAGCGCACGTCGCTAGCACCGCCTTGAAGGAAGATCACTTTAGCCTACATATTCTAGGACATTTCTTTTGCCATTATGGATTGCCTACTACTTCTCGGCCTTCTGTGGTTTGCGTGCCTATGTTTATGCATGAATAGAGGACGTTTCTTTGCTGAAAATTTGGAAGGATTTTTTCAAAATAAAACGTTTAAATATTTCCTTTGGTGAAAGAAGTTCGCTAGGAAACGCTAACGAATTTTATTGTAAATTTTCGACTCTAGCATACCAGGTCGTTACAAGACGATTGAAAAATATACATAATAGTGGCTACGTGTTCTTTTTGCTTAAGTCATGAATCCACACAGTTACGTCCTCCGCAACTGATCCCAGTTGGATTATGAAATACCAGCCTTGACACCCGGATAATGACCCATTTGAAGAGATGTAACGCCGGCCAACAAAGATGGCTGATGGTTTCGAGGGTTTGTCTTTCCAAAATAATTTTAAAAACTGGAAATAATCAACCTTTGCTTAAAGCTTTTAAAGTGCAATCCGCTCTGGACACTGCGAATAATTTGTGGCCCCAGCTGCTGATTGAGAACGTCGAGGGGACTGCAAATTCAAATTCGACGTGCTAAATCGTGTAGGTGGGGAGGCTTTGCTTTTCCATTGCCGCAGTTCCGAAAAACACTCCAAACCCTCGGCACCCTCATGCCTTTAAGTTACCATACTGAACGCTTTAAGTAAGGATTTCCCAGCAATATCCCTGGAGGGATAACAACTAACTGGCTCTGTGGTCTTAAAGCACGTCACAATTGCCACACATACTAGTTTCCATAAACAAACGAAGGAGCATTGGTGGTCATGTTCTTCTACAAACCGCCTCTTCTCATCCAATAGGCTAACCATCCTACGGATAACGACTCACGCACCTGGAAAGCACCTGGA